ACAGGACCTTCTCAAAAGGGACTGTTTTAAATCTGACCAGTTGTATTTTGGACCCAATAGTACACCAGACTATCAACAGCAGAGTGAAGCTGACAATCTAGGATCATAAGATCATTCAGACTGGAAGGAACCTCAAAAGATCTGTGGTCCCACCTCTTCCTCAGCAGGCTCGGCTGAGAGCTTGGGGCTTTATCCAGTTTGGTCTTGAAAACCAACAAGGACAGAGACTGCACAACCCTCCTGGACCATTAGAGGTAGTGCCTATTTTCACTGGGAAAAATGTTTCCTTACATCCAGTTCAAACTTCTTACATTTTAACTCTTCTCTGTTGTGTCTTGTACTCCCACTGTACCCCACTGTGGAGAGCCCAGCTTCATCTTCTTGCTGACCTCCTTTTATGTGCTGGGGTCTGCTGTTAGGTTCCTCTCAAAAGCTGTCCTTCAGCTGCCCCAGGGTGACTACTCAGGCCTGGAGGGACACTTTGCTACACTTGAGTTTATCATCATCTTTCCTTTACTGTGGGATCCAAAATTGGACATGATATTCTAGATGAAGTCTAGTAAGTGCCAAGAAAAGGGGGATGATCAGTTCCCTCCATCTCCTGGTCAGACAGCCAGGGATGTTGTTGGCTGTCTTTGCTGCCAGGGTACTCTGCTGGCTCACAGTCAGCTCTATCTGACAGACACACTCGGGGAGTTTTCAGCAAAGCTGCCATCCCCCACCCCAGTGAAGTCTCAACCATCACTGCTGCAGGGGGCTTGTCCTTCCCAGGTGCAGGACTTTGCACCTGTACCTATTGACTTTCCTGAATTTCCTGTCGGCACATTCCTCCAGCCTGTCTAGGTACCCCTGGGTGGCAGCCGTTTCATCAAGTGTAACAACTGGCTCAGCCATTATGCAAGTACTTTGAATTACAAAATTGTCAACAGAGGAAAGCACAAAAAGCAAATTGCCCCCCCCTTCCCATTTTTAATCTCTTCCATTTGCCAAATACTTTGAGATCTACTTGTAGCAGTAAAGCAGGAAAAAAAAAAAAAAAAAGTATAGGCTAAAGTATGGTGCTTAAATTGATAGCATCATCCTAAATTTGTATTAGCCCAGCTGCTCTTTTGACTTACTGGGGAAAAATGCATGATCTGGAATCACAATATTGGAGGAGTTAGAGCTGGAAAATACCTGACAGGTCATATAGTTCATATGTAATGCAGGATTTCTCTGACCACTACATTTTAGAATGTGTTGTCTGTGCAGAAACACCAAGTACTGGTGTTTTCTTTGCTCCTATGGAGGGTAACTGCATCTCACCATGAAGAAGACATTTTTCATGATAACTCAATGTGTTTCTTTTCTTGACTTTTTCCTATTATTCCTTATTATCACTTGTGTCATCCCTGAGCATCCCTGCTGTTGGTGTTTATGTGGTAAATATTGTAAAATTGTGTACTTAGCTGGGATGGTTCTTCTATATAATTCATTGCTGGTCAGTTGAATTTTTGCCATTAGATGTCACTACATGTACAGCAGACTATTTTTAAAAGACTTGGGTTTTATTTAGCCTCCCATAAAAATGGAGGAGGGAATTGGGACATGTTGGAGAGAGTCTGGTAGTATGCCTTGACACAACTACTTCTTAAATAGTATATTGGATATGCCTTTACTAAAAGCAGCACAGAAGGAAACATAAGATTTTTGACTTAACTCCAACAACCAACAGATGATGCTGCGACCTTAAGCATATATAAATATGTTTAGCAGCTGCTGTGTAACATATTTATAAGTGTTTAGTGACCTGGAGGTTAATCAAAATGAGTTTGGTGATCTCAGCTCGGTTCTTAATGGACTCCACTTCGTATTACAGCACTGATGCAGCACAATTTGTCACGGTCGGCAGTCTTTACTCAAAGGAGGCCCACTGTGGAGTGAGAATTAAAGGCTGAAGTAATACCTGATTATTTCTCCCTGAAGAAACTTTCCCTTCCAAGCCATCATAGAGCAGAATAGTGTGTGGAGGAGCTCTGTGCTGCAAACTGGACACAGTCTCTGGATAAAATAACGTTTATTCTGACAGGATGTCACCTCTCAGTGCTACTGAATTAGCTTATGTGTGCTGCGGTCAGTGCTTTGGTAGGGGGCTGGGGAAGGACAGGGTTCTGCCAGAGGTGGTGCGAAGTCTTTTCACATGCTGGGCTGGAGAGCTGTGTCCATTCCAAGTGTGGAATTACATGGGAGGATGAAAGGGAAGGGTATTGCCTTGCCAAATGAAATTTTGTAATTACGTTCTGCTATTCAGGTCTTTCTGGGTACAGAAGCAGTTTTTTTAGACTTTGGTGGTTTTCTTGCTGGCCAAAGCTGGTATACCTGGCCAAAGCTGGTATATTTCTTTCATTTAATTTCCTTTCTACATCTAAACTGGAAAAAGTTTTCTACTTTTTGATTTAAAGCTGTTGTACAGCAGTATGTTTTCATTAACTGCAATTGAGATTGATGTCCATAGTGGGTAATGTGAAATAGGTTGTACCTCAACTTGAGACAATGAACTGTCCCATGGCTTAGAAGGTATACATGCTGTAGAAAGTAATAGTATTGAAATATTAGTGAGTCAAGAACAATTTCAGCTTACCTGCAAGTTGCACATCTCCTGTGTATTTTCAAAGCAAAAGAAGAATGTTAGAGAAAGATACACCTGTAGAGATTTCTGTCTTTTCCAGAATCGCAGCCTTCCTACATAAAGAACCTCTCAAAATCTGTTACTTTTTTTTTAAAGTGTAAAAATGCACTTACACACTTTATTAATCTTGACTAGTAACTTTACCCAGTAAGAGAAAGAATTAACTTAACCAGCTTAGAAATAACTTTTCAGTTAACTGCATTTGATGAAATTCAGCAAGTTTCAGCTAAAAAGGGAGGATGGTGTTGTTTAAGATACAGTATTTACATAAGAAAAGCTTGATTGTGTGACTGAAATCTTTTAAAGTTATTGCCAAACGGTTCTACTATTCTCTTTTTCCTTTGTAATTTTTCCCTTGGAGCATTGCACCACTGTGCGTTTTAAATCTTTTCCCCCCACTACTCATTGCAAGCTTCATCAGGGAAATGACATTGTATGGTAGTTGTCTCCTTCATATCAAAAGAAAGCCTTTGCCTCTTTGCAAGAGTGAAGAAAAGTTTGGCTTCAGACAGCAAAGGACAAAACTGACTTGGAAAAAGATGCTTTATTTAGATAACACATTCTCTTTTCCTTTGAAAAAATTCACTTCACAATGTGTCAAGAAAAATTAGGCCAAAGATTGCTTTAATGGTCTTTCTCCTGTGCCTCCTAAAAAAAGAAAACACTTTCTACCAATTGTGTCAAGAATCTGCCATGAGTTTGGGGAAGACTAGAAGCCAGTGAAGTTATTTAGGGTTTTTGTTTAGGGGATTGTCTGTTTTGTTTGAATGCTGCATAATAATGAAAAATAGAATTTATATCTAAACTCCATCATGCTACCAGAACATGCAGCTTTCCCTGCCTGTAGAATAAAATTAAATGCTTTGTTTTTCCAGAGAAAAAAAAAGGAGACAGGTACCAAAGCTCTGTAAAGGGGTGGTTGCTCCCTTTCTTGTTTCCTTTATTTGGAAAAGCAGCATGAATTTACAGTGGGCACATTAGAGAAGCAGGTCTGAGTTTTGTATTTTCCTGTGAAGGCTGTGAATATACAAATAAGTGTATTTTTACATGTGTTTCTATTCAAGTATATGATTTTTTAAATATATAAGTCTAGATCCCTATCCATATCATAATATGTAGAGTCTTCTACTATACCAAGAAAAGGTAGATAATTTTGGTATGGATTAAAAGAATAAGAAGTTATTTTTTAAGTTGGATCAAGCTTTACATTGTGATATTCTGCTTACTAGGATTGGATTGTTTTCTTCTTGTGCCTCAATTTATCTGTAGAATTGGCTAAATCAGTTACAAAGCATACTTAGATACTTTTTGGAACTTAAGAGTAGATAAGGCTTAGACTTCAAAAATACTTGGTCTGAAGATCTTCACATCTGAAGATGTTGAGAAGAAGGACTTAATTCAAGGCAGTTTTCCAGACAAACCGAAGTCTGTTATGAAAGCATTGCACAGATATGTAATTACTTTTTGAAACTAAAGTAGTTCTGCTGAGATTCCTTGTTTCAACCAATTGTAATATGTACATGGTTTCTTGAAAGACTCCATATAGATGTCAGGTACAACAAGGTGAGCATTTTATCCAATGCTATAGTCACAGCTTTGGTCACTTTAATGGTGTTCGCTGAATGACTACGACTTTGGGCCTAGATCAACACTGACAATGAGAACATCTGTTGTGATTTAAAAAAACAAAACAACAAACAACCTGTTTTGAGGAAGAAGAGAAGAGGAAGTTAGGTGTACATTATTTCTTTGGGAGTCGTGTGAATGGCTTTTGGTCATGAGTTATGCTCAGGCTAAATGTTGATGTGCAATTGAATTTCTCCTTTGCACCCTGGGACTTAGAAGTGCTTTACGGGAAAAAAGTTGTGTGCAGTAACATCAGATACAGAAATCTAAAAGAAATTCCATGGTACACATTTTTCTTCTGATCATTTCACTGTTTCTTAAGCCACAGCAGGCAAGAATGTCTATTGCAATGGTCAAAATGTAATTCACTGGAATTTTTTGGTGTCAACTTTAGGTTCTAATTTTGACTCCTGATCACAGTGCTGTTTACTCTTAGGATAAATGAGTTGCATTTTTCTGCCGCTTTGTTGTGATGTGTAAAGACACTGTATACATCTCTTGAAATTTGTGTTCAGTCCAATTCTGTTTCAGGTACATGGTAACTAATTCAAGACTAATAGCTCCCCTTGTGGGTAAAATGAACTAATTGAGTGCCTTCTCCTTTGCTATTTGCAAACAATAGGATATGTACTCTGTGACAAACCACAGCATCTTCAGCAATGAGGTAGGTAATGAGACATTGTGTGTGTGCTTTTGCTTCTCCTAGGCAAGGCAATTTTCCTGCCATGAATCAGAGCGGTATTATGGGATCCAGCTCCCCCTACACTCAGCCGATGAACAACAGCTCTGGCTTGATGAACCCACAGGCTCCTCCTTACAGCATGGCATCTAACATGGTGAACAGTTCAACAGGTAATGGTGGGTAACCTTTCAGCAGTGGCCTTCCTCCATAAATCTGCTTAATGGTACTAGCCCTGGGCTCGTAGCAGAGGGATAGTATTCATTCAATTCACACCTGTTGGGTAGTTTGGAGTGATTCCAAATTAGGCTAAAGTATTTGCATTTTTTGTACAGTAACTCATACATTTTTCTTTAAGTCCTTTTGCACAGCTTGTAGATGGGTACAATGACCCAGTTTGATGTAAGTTTCAACTGGCAAGTATATGTATATTTGTGTATGTGTCTGCAAGAGGAGGAAGGAGAACAACCTCATCTTTTACTAGGGTACTATTGCTTTTCAGTGCCTTACTGCCCAAGATTATAATTTCAGATATTTAGTGTGGTACTGGTTTAAAAAAAGACATATGCACCTGCTCTGACTTGGAAGATGCTGTACGTTGAGCACTTAAAATGACGATTCTGTTCTGAAAATGTAGGCCCTATTTACTGTTTCAAAAATTCATATAGCCATATATAGGATTTCTTCATTTACTTATTTAAATATCAGTACATGAAATTTAACCATAGATTCCTTTTGCAAAAAAAAAAAAGGGTATTCAACATAGCTGCTGGATTTATCCATATCATGACTTGTGAATTTAGAATAATTTGCAGCTTTGTGTGTGACTGTGAAGACAGGTGAATGTAATTCTGTGCAAGTGTGCTTGTCCGTATTCAGCTAGAACTCCTAACAATTATCTTCCATCAAGGTAATACTTCAGTAAAGATCAGTTCTTTGATTGGGGTGAATTTGAATGGAGTTTCAATGACCCTGAAGTGGATTCTCCCAAATATTTATTCCAGTCATGGGGGTTCTGTGCATGCTTTACTGATTGCATTAGCCCTTTTTTTAAAATTGTGGGGATTTTGAAGTTTTCTGAAAGCTGAATAAGTTGTGCTGAGATTATTTTTTTATTAGTGGTTTTTGTCTCTTTTGTTTATTTTATTAGAAATGCCTTACTATTTAAATTGTGTCTTACCAAGAGCCTGTGTGGCAGTATCTTCCTCTCTGCCCTGCTTAGCTTTCTTCATTCCTTCATCCTTTGCCTCCTTCCCAGTCTCTCCTCTCTGCAAATGTTGTATGTCCCTGCTTCCTAGGCTGAAAATGACCATTAAGTTTCAAGTGTCTCGTATGTCCAGAGGGTTTCTTTCCTACATATAGTTGCTCCTGAGACACTTAACAGTGTCTTATTTTTCAAAAATATGCTGTTACTAGTTTTGGTTAGCAGAAGAAGCAGAAAGGAAGCTGTTAAGCAGTAGGATTTTATTTTTTTTTTTAAAGAAAATAAAAGGAAACAAACAAACAAAAAAAACACCAAAAAAAAAGGTTTTTTCCATTGTTGGCTTGGAAGCCATTGGTTAGTCCAGACAGCACACTTCACTGGATGAAGAGAGAAAATTTATTGAAAAGATCATTAGATAATAGCTTGCTTTTCCCCCACCAGAGCTGTCCCAGGTAATATTATGTTTTGTTTGTGTAGTTATGTGTTTTGTCTGGCTTGCTGAAATAAAATTACTTCTGAGCATTGAAACTGTGCTATAAATTCTGTTTTGCTATTAGCAGAAGTAATTTTTCCCCCTTTTCCTTTGGCCCCCAGAGCTGCAAAAATAACCAACAGCAAACAGATGGCAGAGTGCCCTGCCTAAGAAGATTTATGTATTCCTAAGGAATAACCAGTTTAAAGGAAGATTCACAGACGGTTTTTTGTTCAGATAATTCAGCCATTCGTTATTTCATACAGTGGAAATCTGTTCAGTGCAAGGCCATTTATCCTAGCAGTCTTTTGTATGGGGTAGTCATACTCTTTTTATTGTGTTATGCATTCTGAAATATTGGATTTTTAATAATTTAAACATTTATCAGGGTTTTTTCTGCCAGTGCATTTGTGAGGTTTTCTTTTGTTCCAGTTTTATTAATTCAGAGATTACCCAGTGGAAAGGAAGTGTGAGATGAACTAGAGGAGTTCAGTGCACCTCTTTTCCCCTCTGTGTGTGAGCAGACATGGATCTAGATTGCACTGTATTGCTTTACACAGCCAGCCTCTGAGAGCAAACAGTGTTGGTACGGAGGAGCAAAAAGAGAAAATTAGGTGTGAATATACTGCTGGGGCACGTGCATCGGGAATGTTGCATTTCCCCCTATCCTGACTGCTTCTGCTTGGGTCAAAGAAATGAAGGGCTGAGCTTAAGGCAAGTGTAAATATAGTACTGAAAATGATAATGTCTTGAGCTAGGGGAGCACTTTAGGGTCAGCTCTGTCCCTGCATTTGGTGAGGTGGAGAACTTGCAGGTAATTGCTGCTTACAGGCTTGAAAGTGGCATTTTGCATGACACAAAGCAAAGACCAGTTGAGCTGTCTGGCTCTTGAGCCTTTTTCCCCCTAGTGTAAAGTCACACATCTGTCAGGTGAAACAGGGCTCAGTCCATGTGTAGGGCCAAACCCAAATGCAGCCCAGTGGCTGCTGATGGAGTAAAGTGTTGGGCTTTGGTGAACTTGCTCACATGCACTGACCATGCACAACAGAGGCCAATGAAAAACTAAGGTAAGCCATAGGGAAAAGCTGGTTTCTTGGTTGTCTGTGTTTTGAAGAGTGCAGTTGTGTTGTTGCCTGTTGTGAGGGAGAAATGTGGGTTTTGGTTATATTCATTTTAATAAAATGCGCTTTTAGGTTTTACTCTATAATAGAGGAAGATTTAGTGATGCTGTTTGGAATTGTTTTCATACAGTTTTGGAGCTTCAGTATAGTGAAGTGTAACACTGGTTTTGGCACACGTTTTTATTAGTATTTGTAACTCCGTATTACCAGTGGATCCTTTTTGTTCTGTATTGTTTTTAATTAATGTCACAATTTAAAAGAAAATAATGTTGCACTTCTGCATCCTGGTACTTCATCAGTGACTGTGGATCAAACAACAGATCTCCAGCTTCTGCTGGTGTAGAGCAGTCCAGGAACATGGAAATTATGAGATCAAAGCAGATGGATCCTTCTGATAGAATATCCCATGTGACAGAGTATTCCATCCATAACAATACCAAAAGCTTCAAGAAGAAATGCTATAATCCCTTCACAAACTGCCATTCAGAAAAATTGTATGACCTCCACTGTTGTTTTGTTATATGGGTTCACATTTCCCACATATGTTTTAGATTTTTTCCCCTTATTTTTCAAATACAGGCTTTAAACATATGTATATAATAAAAAGAAACTTACAAAAGCCAACATAAATAAAATAATACTTTCATGCTGTGAGCCTTGTTAATTCTAGTGAAAATTATCCTTAAAAATAAGTAATATGGAGTTTGTAACTCACAGATTTCCATGTTGTGCTTGCACAGAAACTGACACTCATACTCTCTGCTACCTCTGGAGATTAACAAAACAATAAAAAAGCATTAATCTCCTTGCTGCTACAGGATCCTTTCCTAATTTCACTACCTCTGTCCTACAGAAACCTTCCATTTTCTCTGTGTTATTATTCCCAACAAATTTTTAACATTGTATTTAACATTACTTGACATAAAACATTTAAGTTTTAGGATAAGTTATTTGCCCTGAAGGAATTAAAAGGATGCTCTTAAAAATAACATGAAAAATAGATACAATGCTTACCTTTTCATATATATTTTATATATTTAACATGTTTGTTTGGCTGAACCTCTGATAGAGTGAACAATCATATTTGTGAATGCAAAACATTTTTTTAGAAATCTTAATAGGTTTTCTCTGTTTCGTAGCTTGGTTACATTTTTAGTTTTCTGAAAAATGGAAACCTACAATTATTTCACTTTTTTTCCCTCTCTAACGCATATCTTCATATGAGCATAATGCACATTTCAATAAACTTTCTGAGGGGTGTCAGCAGTTGGCCACAGCTGGAGTATGTCATCACCTACACTGCAAACAAGCAATGACTGTAATCCAGTGGTCGTTGTGTGCCAGCTCCTGGCACAGAGGTGCCCGCATCCCAGACCACATACACTTGTCATCCCATGGATGAGAATTGGTCGACAGAAAGGAGGTGCAGCTCTGAGGTCCTTGATGGCCTGCTTGTCCCTGCCAGATAGGTGCCTGATTGCCCTGGGCTGTGCTTTTCCCCAGAGGGGGATGGTCATTTGTGGCAGGACATTAGGCAATGCTGTTGTCCCTCTTCTGTTTTCCCTGCAAGCATAAAAGCAGTAGGAATCCTCTTGCCAATTCCATATGAGTCACAAAGCTGCTGCTTTTGCTTTTTCAGTTTTTTCTTTTTGTTGGTTCTTTTTTTTTCAGAGGGAGAGGGCTCGGGGTGGAAGAAAGAAAATAATGTGTTACAAAGGATGTAAAATTCTTTTTTGTGGAGTCTGATTTGTTATTGCACTAGCAATAAAGAGAAAAACAATGTTTGTGTATTGCTGCTCCTACAGTATTTCATCATCTTCTGGGACTGACAGAGCAGCCTTTAGCAAAAAAAGAATACTTTGCTGCAGTTTTACTCATGTCAATATCTGCCTTTGAGTACATTAAATTCAGTGTGGAACAGTTAATTCAGGACCTTGACCCATACTTGCTTTTTGAAATCATTCTAGCTCTTAAATTCTTATAATAAGCCAGAGGCTAGTACTTGAAACCTATTCACAGTATGCTAGAATGCTTTTTGAGTCAAGATTTCCCTGTTATCCTCCTCTCTTAAATGTTTTATCCTTTAGTCTGCACTTCACACACAGAATTATTAGTACCTGTGTAGAAAGAGACTGTGTCTTGTTTTAGCAGTTTTGTGACAATAACAGTATTTCAATGCTCAGAAAGGGGTCAAAGCAATATTCTGGCTGTACCGCTTGGCTAAAAAAAAAAAAAAAAAAAAAAAAGGTCAAGGAATGTCTGTTTGCAAATCGCTGGAGAGTCTGTTTGCAAGAAGTTATGAAACAGTGTTTCAACAGCAGATAGAAAACTAGCTGTGGAAACATGTTAGGTGAAAGGTATAGAGAACCCTGACAACCTTGCCATTTGCTGGTAAAATCCTTGCAGTTCTCTTCTCGATAGGAAGAAAGGTTGTAGATGAAGTAAGTCCTTTAGAACAAGAAGTGAAACTGAATTTGGGAAACTATTATTTTTTTTCTTAGTTGTATCTAACTCCTTTTTAGGTTGCATATGTCACCAAAAAATATTCAAAAGCCAGAATGAATTGGGTATTTTTTACATTTTAATACATGATTAATGCAGTCAGAATATGTGTGGTAAATTGCAGGCTAGAGTTACTTGCCCTTTACATGACATGCTAACTTAAAACTTCTCTGGAAAAAAGAAGAAGTTATAAAGGAATTATGATAGAAACAGGACTACCAGGAGTGGGAACAATTATTCTATTCTCTGTAAGAGAAATACGATGTGCCAACCTAGATAAGCGAGATATCAGCAGAGGATTTAGCTATGCAGAATTTTGGTGAAATTTGGTTATTAACTTTGCTTTGTTTGACCTCTCTAAAATTGCTTTAGAAGGGAAGAGTCATCTTTGGTTGCTTTGAAACCAAGCCTAGGACTTCTCTTTTAGCGCTTTCACAGCATGAGATATGTTAAAATGGATTTTGTTTGACAGATCTACATCCCAGTTCAAAACCAGACTGTGGCATACATTTTACCATTTAGTACATATTTTAATCTCTAAAAGAAAAATAACCTTTTTTTAACTGTAGATTTCAAAACTGAAATGTGTTTCACTGCTGTCCTTCACTTCATAATGGCCACAAACAGAGTATAAGGGCAAAATGCATACATATTAAAGGCTTAGTGGATGCTGGCTTCCCAGTATCATATTGCTTGGCTGTTTTGTTGAGGTTTCACACATACATACATAAAAATAACAGCATTTTTAGCTGATCCAAATAGATTTTTCTCTGCAGCTGCATCACTTGAAAAAGGCTTTTTGTTCCAATTCTTGAAGTCTTAAGCATTGCAAGTAATTTTTAATTATTTTTTTTTTTATCTCAATTATGATTTGTGTTGTGATGACTTTAAGGGCTTGATTGGGCTACAAATGTGCTTAGAAAAAACAAGAAAATGTGCCCATGAAAAACACCAGCAGTTGAATATTGAGAATATTGAGCATACAGTTGTAAACTCACATGGCACATGGCTGGATAGGTTTTTTTGGCAGACCCGTAGTCTCAACCTGCAGTGATGCTAAAGATATTAGCAAATTAGCACTGCAAAGCTTGCCAGCGTATTCACCAGAGTCCTGCTCATGCTCTCACTGCTGTAATTAAAACTAATTATTTTCTAAAACATAGTAATACATGAATATGTGCAATAATCATTTTGTAGTGGGCAATCTGTGAAGTATTTTTTAAAGCTTCTTTTCCCTCTCTTGTCTTTGGCTTGCTATGCTGTGTGCCTGCTGCCTAGTGCATGCCAGCATTGTCATGTTGCGGAGAGACACACTAGTCTGGTAATGATCAGACAGATATATATATTTTTTTTTTTTTTTTTAACAATGATGCTTTGCTGATTCTTCTGCTGATTTGTAAGTTTGGAATATATATATTATTTCCTTTTTATTGCCTTGTAGGTTTTCCTATGTTTTTCTTGCCTTAGATCCTTTAGATTCTTTGAAAGAAGAGGGGGCAGTAAGAAGGGAGAGGAAGGGAAGATAATCCAGTCTTTTGCAAATGTTGTGCACATGATTTTCTGCAGGGAGAGAACCGCTTGGTTTCTTGCTGTTGTTCTGGTTATTTGCATTGATTCAGTGTCATGGCACCTCCTAGCATCTGCTCTGCCCAGTATTTTCTGTCTGTTTATCTGAATGTTTCTTCTTGCATCTTTCTAGAAATCCAGGAACCCTGCAGCTCTGCAGCAATAATACTATCCTTAGCACTTGCATCTTCAAATAAACATCTCCCTTAAACTCCTCACAACCCTTGGGAAGCAACTGCTTGCCATTATCAGAGAAGGACATTTGTGCCTTCATTGTAGTCCCACCTCATTTTGGCAGGAGGGGAGGAACTCGAGTGCCAGTTCTCCAGCAGAGCGGAGTTTACAGCTTGTGGTTCTGTAGTTAAGGCTCACAGCAGCTGAGCCATTCATACCCAAGTCGGTAGGGGCAGGAATTGTCTGCGGGACACCCGCCTTCATACAGATGTAATTGGGAAATTCAGCCTTTTTTCTCCAATAGCAAATGCACATTATTTTAATTCACATTTGTCTGTTGCTAAAGAGAAAGTGCAGTAGTTATTAAAATAGACTGTTGTTCTGCTAAAATGTGGTGGTCAAATGTGGATATAGTTGAAGATGACCAGTAGCATGAAAAAGGCTTTTACTCTGTAAAGTGTTTGTTGTTGTTGCGTGGTGCTTGTGTTCTCCCCTCCTTCATTTTCTTTTCTTTCCCCACTTCAACTGAAGAGGTTTCCAGGTTTCCAGATGCGTGGATAACAGGACAGAGGTGGGATAGCCTCTGCTTCACATGTCGCCATGATCTTGCAGCAGGAAGTGTGTTTTTTCCTACAAAGCCAAACAATGCTTAACTATTTCTCCTGTTTCCGATCAGCACCTATGGGTCTTGCAGATATGATGACACCCGGTGAGTCCAAACTACCCCTTCCTCTTAAAACAGATGGCAAAGAAGAAGGACCCCCCCAACCTGAGAGCAAGTCAAAGGTATTTACCACCTCTGCACGTGATGTTGGTTCAGCCCGCAGAAGTCTGCTGTTGTGTCTTTCATCTTCGGGTTTTGGCCTACCCACTTCTGTTCTTTCCTGCATGCCTTTCCATTCACGTGCAATCTCTTTGTTTGTTTCTTTTTTTCTGTTTTGTTTTGTTTTTTTTTTCTTTTTTTCTTCATTGTGTGGATCTGAAAGTTACTAGTTCTTATGGCATTTCAACTTGCGGGGGCAAAGCAACCCAAGCCAAAACTTGCGTGGGGATTCGGCTGTGCCAGGTGGGTGGGAAAGAAGGGTCTTGCCTGGTTTCAATACTTGCAGCCATTTTTCTCTGCCTTCAGTTACAGCTTCCTGTTTTGGCCGCCTCAGCAGCAGCAACATACTTCTAATATTTTGCTTTTCCACCTTATTTGATAAAATAAGGTGAACAGCTTGTTTTTTTTCTTTCTTTCATAAGGGGAAACCCATGCTTAGCATTCCATGTGAGCTTGAAATAAGCATGGTGGCTTAGTGACTTTAGCCAAGCATCCAGCAAAGTTTCCAAATTATACTAATTATCAATGTTGGTTTAATACTTTTCTATATATATATATATAAAAATATATTTATATATGTGTGTGTTTTCTGTATGTGTCTCTCTGTTTATATATATTTTATATATAAAAACTGGTCAGTCTGTTAAACTGGATGTATTTTTTTTGTTTTTAATAAAGTTTGCCCTGCCTTTGTCATATTATTATTTTTTTTATTCCTCTACCACAGGATAGCTACAGCTCTCAGGGTATTTCTCAGCCCCCAACCCCAGGCAACCTGCCAGTCCCTTCCCCAATGTCCCCAAGCTCTGCTAGCATCTCCTCATTTCATGGAGATGAAAGTGATAGCATTAGCAGCCCAGGCTGGCCAAAGACTCCATCAAGCCCTGTAAGTGGCTCTGTTGTTGTTTTGTTTTGTTTTTGTTTATTTTTTGTAATTAATTATATTTTAATGCTTGCTTGTTTGTTTTGTAAATTCCTTTTCTTCATTATTTATTCACTAAACAGCTTTCTTTCTTTGTAACACTGGGTACAAATTCTGCTCTCGGAGACATGACTGTAAGTTCCACTGCCTGGCTTCAGTGGGGCCTGAGCATGCTTATCCAAGGGCAAAATTTGTCCCAACAGTACTTTGAAATAAGAAAGAGTAAAATTGTGTGCATCATGCAATTGTGCTGTCTGGTAATACAGCAGTTGTTGTGAAGAAAACATCCTTTCTGTAGTGCATCAGCTTCCAAGCATGCTGACTGTGTTGTTAAGGATAATTTCATTTCTGTTCCTGGGCCCAAACTCCTTCACACAACTGACTTCACTCTGGTTGCTGCACTTGTCTTTGCTTAGGATTATTTAGGGGGGAAAAAGAAAAGAAAAAGACGTTTTCTTCCCTGTTGAAACTAATATCCATCAAAGTTTAAACTGTAGATCCAGTGCCACAAAAAAGCTGCCATATATATTTTTCAAACATTCTTGAATTCTGTGTTTGGAAATACAATCATTAGATTATCAGGGCACAGTATAAATGAAGATTGTTTCTGATTTGCTTCATTCAGCAATTTTGACATTACCCATATTGTGGGTAGAAAAAAACCTGATGCATGTGTGTGTTTAGAAAACTATTTTTAAAATCAATTATGTTTAGTCTTTCTCATACAGATTGTAACAAAAAACCTGAGAGAGATGTGTGGAGCTGAAAATTATTTTCATCATATTCATATCTATATATATACACATAGAAAATCTCTATAAACTGATACAGGATGTAAATGTCCACTTGGTCATTTTTTATTTGTGTTTCTGAATTTAAAAAATATATCTTGTTCCTCTTCTCTTTCCTTTTTACCAGAAGTAGTAATGATGATAATTTCTCTGTAGCGAAAGACTGAAATATATTACTGTGAGGAATGTTGGTTTTTTCCAATGTTAATGTGCACTTAAATTAGCAACAGTTCTTTGATAACAGTTTTCACAAAGTGGTACATTGAATGTGTGTCAGGGCAAACAGAGAAACAGCAATCGGAGGGAAAAAGATCTACCCATCCAAAACCCAAAGATCTAGTGAGTCCCCTGAGCAAAGGGGCAGCATGGCATGAAATGCACCACCTTAATGTTTTAATGTTTATTTAGCAGTGACTTTGAGTCTCAGAAGGCAGCTGGTGTTACTTGTTCCCACAAAATCTCATTTTTTTCTTAACAGCATTTCTGAAAGCATGGTACCAAAAACTCTGTTCATTTTCTTTGTAGTAACTTTTTGAGTATTGCTTGTTTGGGTGGTTTTCTGGAGGAAAGGAAGAGAGTTCTTGTACAGGCTGTCCAGGAAATCAAGTTCTTCCTCTACAAAGCTACCAAATGATAATACGTTCCTGAGCTCATCGCATGAACTGCCTAGAGTCATCATAAACATACACGGAGGTTTTCCTAAGTAAATATGCCAAAGTTATAGCATTGGAAAAAATAGATGGAAGGAGTTTGAGCTTTCACTTTTTTTCTGAACACCCTTCTGTCCAAATGCTGCTGCATCGTTAGCTTCAGTTAGATTCTTGGTACACAGATACGGATAAACACAGTACTTTGGAAAGAGAGAAAAAGAAGTGCTATAAATTAGCTGATCCCTTTTTACCTGTGAAGGCAAATGTACTGGATAACTTAATTGACTTCAACAGCAGCCTGACATAGACTGGAACGATTGATTGCAAGTGTTTTGTTACACCTGGAAACAGCCTGAATTTGTTCATTAAATCCCAAAGCTACTCCATATGCTACAGCATCTCCATTCCAACAGAGAAAAAAAGCAAGGTTGAATGCACTTCACAGTATCCCTGTGATCCTACTAAGTGGGTCCTCTTTCAGCAGTTTTAGATGGAAGCAAGGCAGGAGAAAATGTGGAGAAGGAATTGTTGAATGTTACGTTTTGAGGGCTCTTCAGGTACGTGGGTAAAAGGACATGCTATGCTAATTTTGCATGTAATGTGCATCCCTGGCATGGCCAGGTGGCTTTAAAATTTTTTAAGAGATACTTTCAGTGTGAGTGTAAAACTATGCAGGGGTGCTGCAACATGAATAAAAACAGTAGGTTGTGAAAACCCCATAAAATCCTGTTCACTGTCCATAGGTACCCATGATCATGACAATGAATACACCCATGGAGCAGCTGTGAGGGGTCTGCAGAGTCCTTCAGGAAGAAATCTTGACAGAGGGTTGTGCCTTGCAAAAGCCTCTGCCAGAGTTTGGACTTGAGCAGGTTTTTCTGCCTGTGTGTGCATGATCTGTTCTGTAGTAAAACAGGTCTATGTAATAAGTGTAATATTGACAAATTCTTTACTGAAGTGAACGGTAGGTAGTTCTATACATATAGATGCTTAAAGAGATTTACAGGAAAAACTACCCACTGCCCTAATGTGAAAACAGCTCCTACAGAAATTTGTCTTGCTCTGAAGGATTCTGCAGACTCACCATACAAGGGTCTGCATATAAAACAGTTTTATTAAGCAGTAGGTGTATTGAAAACAAAGTATAGGGTTCATCAGATTTACTGTGGGAATTGGCTTTGGTACCCATATACTCTGGTGGGTTTTTCTAAATCACCCATTTAAACATGGCTAGTCTCACCATGCAGAGGAGTGCTGGGGATTGAGGACAGAGCAGGATACAACTAAATTGGGAGAGGTATGTGTGCCACAGGCTTGCACTTTCTATCATCAAAATTATCAGCAAACTTAACAGAATAAAAGCTCACAATCTGTATTCTTCCAGCATTGCCTGGCATGCACTCACCTTAGTTAAAAATCTGCTAATGGGATGGTTCTGTGATAAACCCTTATTTTTGGAGGGATAACCTATAGGCAAATTTAGGTTTGCAGCTGAACATGCCCATGTGGAACTGAAGTTTGTTTGTGTGTAGACTAGCTTGCACACATCTGTCATTTTTATATGTTTATGTTTATAAAAATAGAGAAGAAAAAAAGATCTTTACTCCTGAGGTATAACATTCTTCCCTCCAGCGCATTCTTCTAAAGTTAACATTTCATTTTAGAAGAAAATTGCACCCATTTTACAAAGCATGACAACCTGAAAGCTCACACAGTAAGAAACACTTCTTACCTTCCATAAGCTGTGAAAAGTTTTCAGATTATACTGTCATTTCAGAGCCTGCTGCCACACTGCTGAAAAGCAGCATCATTTGAAATGTATAGTAGAAGAACCAAGAATGAAAAATTCTTAACTGGTTTCCATTCTGCTCTGAATCTGATTTGAAAAAGAGAACCTTGCCATATAAAAATGAAAATGTAAAACTGGTATATCTGAACATTTTCAATCATCAGCTACCATAAAAGTGAAATAGAAACTATTTTGTTGCCTCATATGTTAGAATATAAACAGATACAAAATTTGCTGGGTAAAAGCTGAAATTTCCCACCTCTGTTCTTTGGCATCATAAGTGACAGATGAAAATTAATGCTGGTGAGCAGTAGAGTAACCTTGTTCTTACTGTGGTTGGTAGTGGAGTAGCTCCAGTTTATTCAGCTGTTCCAGCCTGTGTGATCATACATCTCTTCTCACTACAAATTAGTAGCAACATGACTTGCCTACTTCCTTCTATCCACCCCACAAAAAAAAATCTCCAACAAAGTATATGTGTTTAAAAGAGTTCAACTAATTTTTTAAACAACCAGATACACTGCAGCTAATGCCTTGAGTAAACTGATTGCCATTACAGGATCAGTTTGTGCTTTCATTGCATGATCTGCAGGACTCATGTCAAAGTACTTTCCTCCAGCCACTTAGTATTACTAAAGCAAATTCAGCCTTGACTCTGACTTCACAAGGAGTTGTAACCCAACTGAATCTGGTTGAGGTAAACTCAGGAGTGAACCTCATTTCTAAGTCAAAAGGAAGTAATATCTGTCTGTAGAAAGGATTACTGCAAATAAATTACAGTATCAGGAAGAAAAGCAAAAAACCTTACAGGAGGCTATTTATTTAATTAAAATGAATATAAATTCACTGGAAAGAACAGCAATTGGTCATGTAACTGCTGGGTCACCCCCCTTGGCTTCACATCCCTTTTCTCCTGGCTCTCCTCCAGTGTTACCAAGTTTCAGCTAATGGCTGGAGGGAGATAGATACATATTTTCCAAGCTAACATGCAAGATGACTGGTGACAATGCTTTCAAAATCATTGGCAGTTGTGTGCTACCACACTGCATTTTTCGTGGTGTTGAGTGCCAGTCCTCACCAGCACAGTGTGGGGACCTGGACAAAGTAGGTGGTTCTGTAGCATCCACGAGGTACAGCTAGGGTCTTCTGTATAATTCTTCAACTAGAAATAAGTTCCTGTTTACTTTGGAATGGTGCTGTCTCCTTTTCAAAGTAAAGAAATGGCAAAGGAGGGAAGGAGTGATTGACTAGATGAGTGTAAAGAAGTGTCTACTGCAATCAACAACAAAGTTTAGGTTTTTACTATACAGACATAAAGGGTATGTTTCCCTTCATATATTTGGCTCCTTTCCCAAAGCTTTATATCAAGCTTTTTCTCTTGTTTTTTAATTCTGAACCACTCCTGTCTTCCACTGCTGAGGAAATCACTTCACCACCTGCAAGCAGGAGGGTGTCCTTGCAGTAGCAGCAGCCCCTCTCTGCTGTCAGTGAGAGGCAGCTCGGATAGGGTGTAGTCCATCCACACATGGCACAGAGCCCAGCTCTCAGGGTTACGCTGCACAGAAAAGATAATAGTGAGAAGTTACAGCTTGTGTAGCAGCCTCAGTGCTTTCTGCTGTCTCCGCATAGAGAAGAAAAGGGCATCAAGATAACATAAGCTTTCATTAACTGTAAAGCCCAAATAGCAGCAGGAAAGCAGGTTCACTCCTGCATTTCTTCCACATAAGAAAGAATTCTGCCCTTTCCACCTCTTCCACTTTTCCTGGTGGTGGTTCAGCTCTGATTGCTGTGCATCCCTGCTTTTTCCCAGGTCCAAATGCACATTATCTTTGCAAGGTAGGGCATGTGAGGTGGCCTCTTCTGTCCTTTTTCAGGGGAGGACAGCAGTAGCTACTCATAAACCTTGCTGACTCAGGCAGCTAATTGGCAGTTCACAAAGAGTATTGCCACCAATCTTCTTTTACTGTAGGCACTGTTGCTCAACTTGCTTTTTGGCCAGCAGTGGTGTGAAGCAGCAGTAAAGCATAACCGTTTGTGACTCTTTGAAGAGAGTACTAGTTTTTTGGTGTACTAGTTTGCCATGGTTCATGCTTTAGGCTACTTTTGTGCAATTCCTGTTCTGGAGGAACGCTGTCAGGTTTTCTAGCCCCTTTGGGGAGCAAAGAGGAGAAAGTTGATTTGGTTTGGTTTTAGGATTATGTAACCTTGTGTGGGACAAACTTGTTAGTGCTTACAAAGCACTTTGAGATAAGTGGATGAGAAGCACTATGTGAAAGCTACCTCTTATTAAAATGACATGAGGCAACATCAGAAACTTGCCTTCTGGGATCCAAAGTTCTTATCAGTAAAAGAAATATGAAAATGGGGAGTTTGGGCCCTATATTTAAAAAGCTGAATTTTCCGTATACGGATAGAATGTACTGTTTGTGCCTGAACTAGTAGCCTTCATTCCTGGCTGTTGTGTGATAGCTTTAGTTTGTTTGACATCTTCTCTTTTTCAATGTTGTGAGTTTCTTACTTTCTTCTCCCTCCCCCTCCCACCCTTCCCCCAACTCTTTTTTTTCTTCTTGTGATTTAGAAGTCAAGTTCCTCCACCACAACTGGAGAGAAGATCACTAAAGTCTATGAACTAGGGAATGAGCCGGAGCGCAAGATGTGGGTAGATCGGTACCTCACGTTCATGGAGGAGAGGGGCACGCCTGTGGCCAGTCTGCCAGCTGTGGGCAAGAAGCCCCTGGACCTGTTCAGGCTCTACATCTGCGTCAAGGAGATTGGAGGTTTAGCACAGGTGAGAAGTGCTTGAAAGTGAACCTTTTGAAAAGGGGTTACGCATATTTTTTTCCAGAGTATTTCCTGCTGGTTACAGCATTACGTTTTCAGCCCTGACAACATTGTTGAAGAAAATAGTTTCAGCCTTTAATATTCATCTGGAGTTCATTCTGGCCTGCATAATTGCCCTAAAACACTGCAGTTTGAATCAAAATTGGCTATTGCTATAGACAGATGAAATTGTTCAGGGGAATCCAGTAATGCCACTAAGAGAAGAAAGAGGAAATGAAGATTGGATCAAAATTACGAGTAAGAAACATATGACAGAGCTGAAAGGAAAAGGAGATTTTTAAATCCATCCATCCTTCCCAGATAGGGATACTCCCTCTAGGACAAATAATTCATCTCTCCAGAGAAGTGGCAGATGTACTCTTGAAACACAGCCTTTTGACCCAAACCTTTCATCTCTGTCTCTGTACAGTAGTACATGGACTGTGCTTTCCCTGTATTTGGAAGATGCTTACAGGATATTTTGGGTTGCCTTACAAACATAGTGATGACAAGGAAAAGGTGAATTACTAAATTGAGATGAAGGAAAATAAAAGCAGGACAGGCTGAGAATAAAAAAGTCAGATTGGAGAGAGAAGCTTTAGTTTGTGTTCTCACCAGTTAACTGGAAGTTTTGCAAAGGAGTGTTTAGAAATTACTTGTGAGTTCTGTAAGATAGAGCAACACAGAGCAAAACTAAGAGTTTCATTGTGTAGCACCATCAAAAAGGGAACACAGGAGAAAATGGTCAGTATTTTCAGCTTTAAATTTGTTATTTGAAGTTTTCTGTCCTAGCCTGATGCTTTTACAAAGCATCTGTTGCATCTAGGGAATCACTCTGTCTAGGTGCTAGAAGGTTCTATGAAGTGCTGAGACCTGTAATTTCTGTGGTTTTAAGAACATTTGTGGATGTTCGGTGCTTTCCAATATGAGGTCTTAAACATAGGTATGTAGATAAATATGTATATGCAATGTTTAATATAAAATAGATAATATTTAAGTAGGTGTAAGTTTACCAAAATTACAAAATCTGAACTCAAAAATATGGAAAACAAACTAGGTGCTTAGGGAGCACATTTTAATAATCTGTGTTGTTAGTTCAAGAAAGAAATGTCCCACATCAATTAGTACCTTTTTCAATGCCATTTACACATCACCACGTAGGATTTGACTACTAAATTGGATCATTGGCCCCTCAAGTCCAGAGGTTCTAGCTATTCCTTTTATTAAAGGAGGGGCAGAGAAGCCAAATATACTTCACCTTGCCAGTTGTTACATGATGTATATGGGTAAGAGAGGGTAACCTGGCATTTTTAGTGATCAGGTTATGCCCCCCAGCATCATAAACATTTGATTACTTTTAGCTCAGAAAGTTTATTACAGGTAAATTGTATCATGCAGCTGCTCTGCCTCATACAGTGTGATTGTGCCCATACTATGACTCTTATCATCGAAAAATAAGCAAAATAGGGGGCAGGTGGGATTTTCTAGACAGTAATGCATGTTTGCTTATTATGGAAATTTATTTTATTCTGGAACACTCCGTGTGGATTTGCAGTGGCAGACATTACACGTTGCTAAAGAATAGATGATGTTCACTGAGACTGATTTTTGAGTTAATGTGTTCTTCAGTACCGGTAAAAATTGACAGTGAAGATAAAGGCTCCTGGTTTTGCTGGTGTGCCCACATGGATGATCACCGTGTTTATCTGTTTGAGGCTACTGAGAGGTGCAGAGCTTTGCTTATGGAGGTTTATTTAAATGTATCTGTGTGATGCTCTCCTAAAAAGCTTTTGCTTCAGTGACTGCACTTGACATCTCATGATTCTGCCCAAAGAGTGACAGGGAGTGGAGCTGTACAGCCGCAGTGCATATTCTCTGGCTCAATAGTTGCAGTTGATGGGGTCCCAACATGAACAGGCCAGCTGTTGGCAGTCTTCTTTTAAATGCCAGTATACTGGGCATTTAGGCATGAATGTTTCTGTTTGCATTATGCAATGTGTTCATTATGCACCACTGTAGGCACGAAGGGCTGTGTAACTGGATTTTAAGCCTCAACAGGGGCAGTTATGAAAACCTCGTCTCCTCTAAGTCCTGGGTTCTTGCAGGATGTACCAGAGAAATAAAAACACTTCACATAGCCGTGCCGACCTGTTTGCTATTAACGCTGTCCCCAGAAGATCTTTGCTGACTGGCAGCAGTTATGGTGTAATTAAACACTGAGAGAAACATAAGAAATGTTGCCTTTGCTGGCACATAGGCTTCAAAACAGTATGGCTAATGATAACCTTTGTAGCTATACAAGTTAAGTTGGAGTCATTAAAATCTTTGATCTCATAGCAAATAGAAGTCATCATGGGGTGCAAGAAACAGGATTCTTCCCGAACAAAAGCTGAGATGCTCAGAGATTATTTCACTGCTGCATCCTCTCCTTGGATCATACCTAGTGATTGCACAAGTGGTTGAATGAACTCCAGGGCATCAGGTATTACAGCAAAAAAACTGGCTGCTATGAGTAGGACAGCTGAGTGAGCCAGTGGCATCATCCAGGATGACAGATGAACGTCATTGTTATTACAGTGTTTGAGGAACTTATGAACAGTGTCTTTCAGTATTCTCAGCCTTACACTGCAAACAAGACTTGCAGCAGAGTTGTGCAGTCAGCACTGTAATACAGAGTATTGCTGAACTAGCCCAGTGTGTTTGAAGTCTGCCTTAATTAATTAAGGGGCCTTGCGTCACTGTCTCTCATCTAGCCAGAGGATCATTGATCTGTCCCTGCAAGACGCCCTGAAGTGAAGGGACTTGAACCAGGAATTAAAGGCGGAACTGTCTGACAGCTGGTGGCTATTTGGGAGAAAAATTTCTTTTTCCTATCAATGCTCAAACACTTAAATTGCCGAATAATGCTGCTATTGCTTTCTAAAGTAGTTTTTAGAAGCTGCTTTTTAATTAGAATGGGGTGGGTGTGGGTGGGTATGTGAGAGAGGCAGAATGAGTGTGCATATGCCTAGAGATGGATTGCTAGCATAGGCCCAGAAGAGTGCAAAGCATTTAAAAGATGCACCATGCAGAAGACTCTCCACAAGCAAAGCTTTTTATGTAGCTATCAGCAGGTTCCTTAATGGTTTTATAACTGTAAATGCTGTCTGTGCATTACTGTGTGTGGGAGTAATGGGCATAAGTTAAAAGAGGAAAATAAAAAAAAGCAAACCCAAGACATTAAGTGCTGGGGTTCTTTTCGGTTCCCCCCCCCCCTTTTTTTTTTTTTTTTATGGTAAATGCTGTCTGTGCATTACTGTGTGTGGGAGTAATGGGCATAAGTTAAAAGAGGAAAATAAAAAAAAGCAAACCCAAGACATTAAGTGCTGGGGTTCTTTTCGGTTCCCCCCCCCCCTTTTTTTTTTTGTCTCATGAACAAAACACTTTGCTGCCAACCAGTGATTCTGCCATTTATTTTGTTAGGTTAATAAAAACAAGAAGTGGCGTGAGCTGGCAACCACCTTGAACGTTGGCACTTCGAGCAGCGCAGCCAGCTCCCTGAAAAAACAATACATTCAGTACCTGTTTGCCTTCGAGTGCAAGATTGAGCGAGGGGAGGAGCCCCCTCCAGAAGTCTTCAGCACTGGAGACACTAAGAAACAACCTAAGATTCAGCCGCCATCTCCTGGTAAGTCAAAAAAACTGCAGCCTCTTACACAACCATTTTTTGAATGCAGAAGATAGTGGGTTGCAGCTTATATATTTAGAAGCATGTCTTGCTGCTGCTGGACAAACGGCAAAGATAGATGTGTTGTAGGCGTCTTGTTTTCAAACTTGGAGTTAGCTCCTCAGCCAAGTCTCATTGAAGTCTGGGGGCCACCCACAGTCAGGTGGCCAGTTTGTCATTGCCCACTCCTAACATACAGAGACAGGTGTGCCAGCATAACCCTTGGTATTTGGAGTTTTGTTGGCACAGTAAAAAGAAGAGTGTTCTGTGCAGATGTGCTTGTGCTGAAAGATCAGATAGTGGTACTTGGGCTTTCCTTCCTGTGAATGAAGCTGCATTTTCAACACAACTATTGGTCAGTGAAGCTTCAGTTGGAGTCAGGATGGCAGATGCTGGACTGATCAGTGGGTCTTAGGTGGTTGCTCTCATACAGCTCATGTTGAATTTGTGAGAGTGTGGTGTATCCCCACTGCCAGACCTTGTGGTTTGGAGGCAGGCTCTCTGTTCCTTTGTTGCTAATCCTGTATATCAGATAAGTTGCTAGCATCACTGTCTTTATCTTCTCGTCTGAGAAGCTGGAACCGGAAATGCTTGATTTTGGCTGTTCTTTTTGCATATACAGTGAGGTGTTCTTTCTGAATTCAGCTTAAGACTCTCAGGGTCTCAAAGACTCTCAAAGTCATGGGCAATGTTGAAGGCAGGAAAATTCTTCAGTCATAACATTCTAAGTACATTGGAAAAGGTGTAGTAATATTAGTTCTAGACTACCCACAGAAGAGAAAATATTTCCTTTGATTTGCTGGCTATTAGGCTTTTCTGACCAACAAAATAATTTTGATAATATCAGTAATTTCACAATTACTGTCAGGCAGGCCACCTTCTTCTATTGCTAAGAGAATATAATTCCGGGAACGTTTACAGCAGTTTCCTGCATTTCCAGGCAGTTTACAGGCTGCATGGCTTCAGTTTGAGAATTCTTGTTGTGGATACCAAAAATTGCAAGGGTGTTAACCCTTGTTAACATCTGCAGTTGTTAGGTACCTCAGTAGTGCTTATTTAATAGAGAAGATACCTAGGTTACTTAGCAAGGCAAGTTTAGAAGATGGGGCACTACAATTAAAGTCTGTATTATAAATGTTTATCTGTATGAAATGGGCATAGAGTGTCTTGAATGGGCACCACTACACTACTACTACTTTTTGCTTCTGGCAAAAAATACATGATGCTGGATGTATCTGTCACCTCCTGAGAAGGCTGGTAAAGGGAGATGAAACTATTAGACTTGTTAAGGAGAGTGAAGAGGAAATTAATCTGTTTCTAAAACTAACAGCAGTACTAAAAATGAAAGAGCATTTTGTTTACTTCTTTCCTCTTTACCCCTCTCCTTCCAACACTGCTCTCAGTATTTGGTTCAAGGATGATCACTGTAAATTGGCTGTATTTTGAGATGAAGAATTACTATTTAAATACATAAATCTGAAACAAAGGAATAGAAATGTCAGGCTTAGCACTTTCAGAGGGTCCTTTTGCATCATGAGACTACAGATGAAAATGGCAAAGTCCACATTTAAATGTATCATAACATTCAATCAAGCTGTCTATGAGGAGAACTGAAACTATTTTCCTACAATAAAAACACAGCAGGACATAGAGACTGGAAGAGGGGGAGGCAAGCAAAGATCTCAAGGTTTGTTTTGTTGGTGAGAACAGAGCTCGTGTCACTGAATGGGCTGCACTTCTGTACGGAGAAAGGCTTTCCCAGTGTGTATCAGCTTTAGTGCATGAAATCCTGCTGAGGTATAGATGCTGCAGAGAGTACAAGCCTGTTGTCTTTAATAGTCAGCTTTTTTTTCTTTCTCCACTTTCTCTAGCATATACCAACATTAACCTATTAACTGCACAAAAGAAGTAGAGTTGACGATGTACGTTAGATAATCGGTTAGTCTTTGGCATTCAGAGGGAACAGGAGCCCAATAAAAGAAGCAGTAACCTCCAAATGTTCTTGCTTTAACCATTAGCCTCTGTTGTGCTCTCATGTCAGTGTAGGCAGAGCCCCTCCAAAGCCAAATCCATTTTCAGAGAACTAGTTACAGTATTAAGGCTGAAGTTAATTCTCATAAAAAGCCAGGAGGACTTGTCTTAGAGGGGAGGGTGTTGTATGCTAACTCTAACCAGTTGATGCTATGAAATCAGGGTCATGAGAGCTTAAAAATCAGCTCATCTTCATAAAACTTTTAAAAATAACTTGCACATAAAAATATATAGGGAATATATATAAGAATATCTAGGGATTGGCAGCCTTCTTGTTACAGAGAAAAATTCAGTTCCTGTGTAGATGTAGCTCCCGGGTGAACGTTATGTAAGGTGGGAAGCACAGTGACATGCAGTTCAGAGCAAATCACTTAATGCAGATGTCCCACATCCAGGGGGTAATTACATAATTGTCTCATAGATGACTTGTAGAATTCAACCAGTGAAGGAAAGCAAGGAGACACAGTGCAACAGCCACAGAGAGGAGATTCCCACAGAAGAACCTGGCCAGGGAAAGGATGTGATGTCTTAACTCAAATCTAGGGGACTGCAAGGCAGTGTTCTGGGTCCAAGTGTTAGTCTATTTGCTTGTAGCACTGCATCATACCACTGTCAGACCCACTTCTGTACTTTCATAAAACTCCCAGGGAGAAGTCAGGGCCTGAAGTAGTGTGACTTGCAGTGCTCTGAGGCTGTGCAAGTTTGAGACACAGCTGTGGTAGGTAGGCTGAGGCCTTTGTTGCACAGCTTGAATCTGTCTGGGTCAGGTAATACTGTGAGCAGTGAAGACCAGCAGCAGATGTCAGACTAGCTATTAGAGGACCCTCGTTGGCCTCGTGTCCTGGTTGTTGGGTCCATGCCATGGTCCTTGCCAACCGCTGACTGCACTTTTGCTGCATAGGAAATTTGAAGTCTCCATAAGCATCCTTTTAGGTTTCCAGTGCTTTCCAGAAGTGAGTGCAAAAACAAAATGCTCTTCTTGTCCTGAGTGTTTGCTAGTTTTGACCAAAATATGAACAAATTATGTGGTGAGCTATAAAACTGAAAATAATTCTGGGGGCCATTAGGCTAAGCACTGGTGGGTGCTGGAGAACAAATTTCAGAAGGGCATCAGCACAAAAGAGGTTTTTTCCATTACTCTACTCAGGCATTGTAAATTCTTAGCTGCAGTATGTGATTATGTGTGCATGACTCCCAAAATTACAGACTGAGCATTTATCGTTTACTGAATGAACAGGATGGCCACAGTGGTACAGCCCGGGACGCTCCTAAGTAACACTCAGCAGCTGGCCCTGATGTCAACAGAGATTTCAAGACAGCAAACCTGGAAAACTGTGTGCCTGTGTTGGAAGGCAGGAGCTTGCCAAGAGTGTTCCCTGCGTTTCCTTGGCAGCAGAGAAACAAGCCTTGGGGAGGGGGATGGCAGGGGGGACGCCCGACACGACGCAGCCATTCAGGGAGTGTAACCAAACCCATCCGTCTCTGCCTGACTGAAGTGCTATTATTAGCAGGCAGGTGATGTCATGGAGCGTGTGGTGAGGCCAGCCAGGGAATCCCCACAGAAGATGGATGGGCAAGGGGTTGGGAGGGGTGGATGGGAAGACAGACAGAAGTGCTCCCATGCTTGCACCCACACCCGCCTGGGGGGCCCTGCCGCAGCCCCCAGCCCAGCCTCACTGGGGCACTGGGTTTGTGCTGTGTAAATTATCTTCCCAGCGTGGCAGCTGGCTGTTCATTCTGAAGTATGGGAATGTACTTAACCTTCAGTAACCTTTCCATTGTTTACTTTAGAGTATACATTTGTAGCTTCTGGCAAAAGGTAGGGATATCCTAGAGAGCATGTCAGGCCTCATATTAATGGAGTTTCAAGAGGTTTCGTTCTTCCTTCCTTTTTTTCTTTTTTTTTTTAAAGGTAAAAAAATCCTGGCAAGAGAAACTTTTTCTTTTTCTTTTTTTTTTTTAACTGTGTATTTCTGTTCTGGTAAATATCAGGTCTTTCATACAAGCCATGCAGGCTTTGCAAGGCAAAAGCCATGCCAGTGCTATAATTCTGTCCTGCCCAGAATAACGCATAGCATTGACTGAGCTATGGAAAGGTTTGTAGGACCTCAGCTTCTCATTGCAAAGATGTTAATTTTATTTCATTTTGGATGGACTTTCTCTTGTTAAAAGCATATTCTTACACAGCTGTTATGACACTTGAAAGATGAGTGTTGCTTAGATGTGAATGTGAGATGAAGAATTCAGTAGCTGTGTACACATAGGTTTTTTTCCTGGACATCCCCAAGTCAGCTGCAGGATCATTTAAGCAAAGATTACCTCTTCTGAAACAACATCATTGTTTGTCTTCCTTCTTAGTTCTCTGTTGTAATACTGAAGCTTATGAAGCACTTTAAAAGGATATGGGTTCTATTTCAGGGTGTCCACAATCAAAATTAAACATCTATCATAGATTAAAAAATTCAGAGAGATGCTTAGCAAACGTAAAATTTAAGGTGAAACACAGAAAAGAAATACAGTACTTTCTTATAGAGAAGAGGGTTGTTTTCATACTCTTGAACTAGAAAACATTGTTAATAGCAATGTGTGTAAAATGTATGTGTGAGAGAACATAACTGGCTTGCATTTGATGTATGTGCATGCAGGCACCCGAGTGCACATGCTATATCCAAAAAACTGTTTGAAGTATGCAAAGTGAAGTGTTTTCAAAAGTTAGGAAATGCCAAAAATTAGATATAATCTTTGTAACCTTAATTAAGTTTCCTTGCACATAGACAATTCGATACACTCTTCATTATGCAGTCACATCGAAATTTTTTCTCCAAATTGTCTGTGTCATTCAGTGCATGGAATAAACAGTGCTCAGTGATTGAGGAGCTATTCAATATTTTGTTTTATCCTCACTTTTCAGTACACAGCCCTTGTGCCACAGTTTTCAACCAGACTCAGAGCATTAGAAATTTACTCCTTACTTTTTCTTCTTTTCACTACAACTGTATTTGAGGACTTTAAAAAGCCTTTGCAATACCCATTTGAGAAGGAGAACAGTATGACTCCCATTCTACAGAAGATGAACTGGGATACCAGAAAATTTACAACATGAGCATCCACTAATTCTGGATACCAGTTTTCCGTGTTTTTCCTTGTATAGCTCTTTATATGATCTCATCTGTTGCCCTACATGTTCTACACAGCTGGAAAACAGCATTTCTAAAGAGACTCAGAAAAGGAACATGCATCTAAGAACCTCTTGTGCAAAATTTAATGTCACTCATGTGCCCAGTATTGAACTCTTTGTCTCTTTATCCAGCTACTTACAGTTCTTTCCCTGTATTTCAGCTCTCATTAGGTACATTTTCAGGGCTTTCTTGGTGTTGTTTGTTGTGTAGTGCCCCATCCATGCAGCTTCAGACTTCTCAAAGTCTAATTTGATCTCAGTAGCATTTGTATCTCCTTTCCAGGTTCTCAATCCCCTTATAATTCTGCTCCTTTTCTGCTGATGGTCAGAAATCCTATTACCCTGCCTTTGCTTACCAACCTCCTGTTGTAGAGAGCAGAGTGCAGGGTGGCTTCCTGGCTATAGGTTCTCATGCTCAGCTCTACATTCAAGACTGCCCAGATTAACCTAGGAGCTGAATTACAGTGAGAGTCCTGCTCACCCCCAGCCTGAAATAAATGCATAAAGGTTCTTCAGAGAATCAAGCAGTGAATATATAGCAAGCTAATAATCTCTACATCTAAACAGGTATTTTTCACAAATTTATTTAACCAAATCAGAGTAAACTCTGGAACAGCAGAGTGCTTTCCCTGTCACAGGTACATCCGCGACATTACCACCAAATCTCTTCTCCAGACAATGAAGGGACCACTGGTGCTGTGTGTGGAAAAGGTGATCAAAATACATCCTTGGCTTGCAAAACTCACAGAAACATACTTCTCTTTTGGGGACGAGGCAGGCCATATATTTTTGAAGGCATATTCTTAGAAAAAGCTGTCTAGTTACAGCTGAAAATTTCTGAAACAAAATTAGCTGGAGGGGAGCATCCATCAGGATGACTTTCTGGTGATTGGCTGAAGCTTTGCAAAAGTACTGAAAATTACATTCTATGAGAGAAAGTTGAGTTTCTTAAAAAATTGTACCTGCAGTACCAACAGGAACTATTAAGAGTACATACCTTATTCTTCCTCAAGGAATGTGCTATTTGCACAGCTATCGATGCTGTTACTAAAATAAAGATGAACTCTTCAGCAGCCTGTGAGTGTATGACATAGAAATAATTGGTCTTATGGTTGCTTTTTGGTCATATCCACACCTTAATCCAGAAGGTTAAACACTTGCAGTCCCTAATTCTGTAGAAGTGTAGAGGACGAGAGGTAATGGTTTTAAGCTGAAAGAAGAGAGATTTACGTTAGAGATCAGGCATAACTTCTTCAGTATAAGGGTGGTGAGACACTGGAACAGGCTGCCCAGAGATGTGGGGGGTCCATCTCCCAACATGTGGAGATGTTCAAGGGCAGGTTGGATGGGGCTCTGAGCAGCCTGTTCTAGTGGAAGGTGTCCCTGCCCGTGCAGGGGAGTTGGATACTTGATGATCTTTAAGATCTTGAGATCTTCCAACTCAAAAAGTTCTGTGATTCTGTGTCCCTGACCCAGTAGGGGTCAAGAGATAAATGTATCAACAAAGCAGTACCAGAAATTTTGCACTTCTCATGACACCATTTGCCTTTCATTTTTTTTCAGCTGTTTATAACCAGTCATTTAGAAAGAGGCAGGGGGAAAATAACCAACCCTGTAATCACCACTGACCAGACAGAAATTTGACTTGTAGCTTCTCAGGTGGATGTCTTCTTTTTGCTTTTAAACCTTTTCTTACCTGAGAAGATTCTATAAAACAGTGTTAATCATAAGAAAGATTCTGTATTAGTGCAGCCCATTAATACAGAAAAAAATATTTTACCTGGTTTCTTTAGGTTTACTTTAGATCTTCAGATAGGAATTTTAATTTCTTGTTCAGGTAGGATAGGGAAGAATTTAATTGCTGTTTAATAGCCCACCATAAGACAAATATTCAGGGTTAGGCAATACCATATTTTACACTAAGTACATGGGTAGAGTAAGGTATTTACTTACATGGTTCTAATATAACAAGATGATATGGGACAATGTGTGGCTTAACTCAGAAATTTTTTCAGGCTTCTTAGAAGTAATCTAGAATTGTGTTTAAAACTCAAAGGCAGGAGAATGATCCTGGCTCACTCAGGGGTCATATATACAAAGGGCTCATTTTATGTGAACATGATGATCTTTTTATTATCATATGGATTTGTTTTATTATAGCTTTCATTCAACTGTAGCTTTAGTTGCTGCAAATGTTGTTACTGCATTAATGCAATCAGAGAGCTTTTCTTAAACTTTCTTTGACCCTCATTACTGTATGAGCATAAACTAAACATGGCTCAGAAAGCTGAAGACAAGAACAATGTGGTCTACACAATGTGGATTTTACATATGCACTTGCTACTGAGACTGATTTCCAGATAGTGGAATATGTGTTATAGATATAAATGAAACACATATAAAAAAGGTGTTCTTCAGTTAAAAACAAGCTCTGCCTGTCAAGATGATGAGTGTTCTAGGATTCTGAGTCAATTATAAACTACTTTCTCTTGCACATTCAGAAGAAAAGCCCATATGCTTGTTCCAATTTCCTCTCTAACAGTAATTTATAAAGCTTTGTTAATTGGTCATTGAATGTACATAGTCAAGCACTTTAAAATGCTTACATGACAGTTCATAAAAAAGGAGGACCTCTCAAACCAGAGCCATGTCTTTCTAAATCAGAAAACTACTGTCAGATCTGTGGGGTGGGGGATGTGTCTCCTCAGTAGTCATAGGAAAATAGTAACTTCAATGTCTACTTCAAAGAGTGATCTGAATGCATTTTATAGTTAGTTTCTATCATGTACTCATTTAATGCCCTTAGTACTGCTCAGTCTCATCAGACTAGAACATTACACACCTTTCTATGCTCATTGTCCTATCAGGAATGTAGCTCTTTACCATGGTTAAGAAGGAGAGTAGTGCAGGTGCTCTATTGCTTTCTGAGATCTCAACAGAGAAGTTGTTGCAGATTAAATGGATGCTTTGCAGGATTGACCTGGTCATGTTACATACACTCTACAGTGATCAACATTTCTACTTTTACGATTTTATTAGGAGTATTAGCTACAGCCTCCTGTTCAAATTCTGCTTTCACTGATCGCTTTGTTCTTAACCCAGATTGCCTTTTGCATTTCTTAAATACAGTATTTTGCCATGATGTCTCAAAGGTGGCATAAGGTTGCAGTGGGCCACTAGCCATTTGCCATGTTACCTGCCTTTTAGTGGTAAATGAAATTATGAGTTTATATTAATACAGCAGTTTAAATTTGTGATGAAAAGCTTCTGGCTGAAATTTGCCTTCTAAATGAATGTGTTGTGATAGTGATTATATAAAGAAGCTGTGCCAAAGAACAACCTTCATTTACTCTGTTGTAAACTATAGACAATTAACTTTGTATTTCTGACCTCCTATGTAAATGATCCTTCATCTAGATAATTTCTATTCATGTTGCTTCAGGCAGCAGATTAAATTCATGGTTCTGAGAAAGATTATGGCTATTACTGCACAGCGTATCCTGATCTCAGAAGATTTGAGGGAAGTTAGGAAGGACTGAGATGCATGGTATAAGCAAGCTTCTGGGGGAAAGAACCAGTTTCTTTCCTTGATGATAATTATTTCCACAGGAATTTGGCTGCTACCGTATAATATTTCCTTTTTCTTTCATTTCCCAGCTAATTCTGGTTCCTTGCAAGGCCCACAGACTCCACAGTCTACTGGTAGTAATTCCATGACAGAAGTGCCAGGCGATTTGAAGCCCCCAACACCAGCATCAACACCTCATGGACAGATGACACCTATGCAGGGTGGCAGGTATGAAAAAGACTTGGCTTAACTTTTTGTTCTGCAGTAATTTATGCCAGTCTTTCCCAACAGCTCAGGCACTCATCTAATTCTGTGGTGAACCACTCAGAGCCTTAAAACTGGCAGAAAATTACTTCTTTTTGGAGAGGAGAGAGGGAAAGGGAAGAAGGAGTAGGATCTGCATTAGCTTTCTAAACACCAGAGAAGGATCAGAAAAGCATCAGTGCAAAGGGGGACGTGAATATGTGAAGAGTGGGGAGGAAGGTGGAACTCAGCAGCACCAACTTAGAACCACAGCCTTCCTTTCCTTGCTTGCCCTGTCCTCCTCTGGTATACAGATCCAGGCATCCATGCTCAGGAAGGAGGAATTCAAACTAATGGATTATAGAGAAAAATTGGCGAGGTGAGCAGGGAACAGGAAAGTAAAGGAGCTTGTTTACAGTCACTTCCAAGCATTATAGAAGTATGGATCCAGAGTGCTTTTCTAATGAATACAGTGGGGTAGAAATCTGTGGGTTTAAGGTGTTACTTAAATTCAAATTACGAAAAGTGTATATAATAACAGTGGTTAAGTGAGATAGCAGAGGATTCAGCTGGATGAACCAAGAGATCCCTTTCAGTTCTTTGTCCTGTAAATCACACACCAGCTCAATCTGAAGTGAAGCCTTCTCAGCATTCATTAAGGCTTGTTACCCTACAGAAGTCCAGCAAAAATGGTTCTTGTTGACTTCAGCAGAAACATTATGAACTATGTGCAGAGTCACTTCAAAGTAAACATACCTTTTTTTCTGCAACTATGATACTGAAGAAAAAAGACCAAGAACCTTTTCTAATAACATGTAATTCAGATTGAGGTTTCTTCCCCTAGGTAAAAAAAAATTCTTTTGCATTAAGAGTATATTTGATCATTATCAGGGAAACTCCATTTTTCAAGCCAAATATTTAAGGTCTTGAGAATAAAGCTGGCTGCAACCATAAAGGCTAGTGCCTCTTCCTAACAGTAAATGGTATTTAGGAGGTAAATCAAGTGTTGCTGTTTAGTCTTTCCTCTAGTAGGAGAGCAATGGGAGCTTGGTAAATTTGAAAGGTAATAAATATGAAACTGATAAAAAGTGATACTGTTTTGACACAGCATATGATTAACCTGTGGAATTCAGTGCCTTGAGGTAGTGAGGCAAACAGCTTATTGAAATTTCAGAAGGGTTTAAGACTTTTATATGAATAATAGGAACATGCACAGTTGTATTGGATTAAAAACGCTGATCATCAGGGTAAGTAGCCAGATCGGGAAAAAGTGTAGATTTCTTTAATGATTGTTCATTGTGAAAGGTTTTTGCAACTTCCTCAGACGTATCCTGCACTGCCACAGCATCATGGGCTAGGTGTGGTATAGTCCAGTCTGTTTTTAGAATTCTTATCAGTACATGATGATGTTAATGCCTCCTTTTTCTCATCTGCCAGAAACAGCGCGGTCAGTGTGCACGATCCCTTCTCTGACGTGAGTGATTCAGCATTCCCGAAGCGAAACTCCATGACGCCAAATGCACCATACCAGCAGGGAATAAACATGCCAGACATGATGGGAAGGATGCCATATGAGCCAAATAAAGATCCTTTTGGTGGAATGAGAAAAGGTATTTTCTTTGTGGGAGCTTAAATGTTCTTTCCTACATTCATGTACTCAAGACTCTCTGTTGGTCAGAATGAGCCTTTTTGATTTGCTGATTTTGCCATTGGTAAAATGGTATCCTTGTAGCAAAAGGAGAGGTGCAGTGCAATTGTGTTGCATTCTGGTCGTCATATTTTCCCCTCTTAGGGTTACACTGTTTATTTTAGACTTAACAGAGTCCTAAAAATTGCTTGTAGAAATACATTTCAGGAAACGGCATAAATTCAGATGGTTAGATTTTCTGCAGTGCTGTTGAAGGTCGTTAGCTACTCTTCAAATCAGATGCTGGGCTTCAGTGCTAGAATGTGAAGTGGTGAAGCAGCATGCCTGGTAGTAGGGCTGAACTGAGAATTCACTGTGCAGAACTGAACAAGTTTCCTAATGCTCTCTGTCTCAGTTTACATATTTTTCAGAATAGGAAAGCTACTTTTTTTCTCACTTGGACAGTCCCTGCCAAAAAGTGATAAACACAGTCAAAGTCTGTATATTTTTAGAAAGCAAAAATCAAAATTAATGTCAAACTTGACTTTTGTCCTTTTGAGCACTTAACCTACAGATGGTTTTGTGGATATTTGTAAAATGTGCTTAAAAATTAATGTCTTGCATGCCTTGTATATAGGAAAGTGGGAGGAAAGAACAAAAGCAGGGCTCACAGTGGCTGCGAAGAGAAGAGTAGATGGAGGTAATGAAATTAAGAAAGTGGAAACTGAAAGTGAGCAAAAGGGAAAAATAGGAAGAAGAGGTCCAGAAATCAGGGGAAAAAAGATATGTGGTGAAGTGCAGAAATGCTTTAAAAGAGATAATCTGATGTGACTTAAAAAACCTTTAAATGCCTTTGTTTGGACTATGGACACAGTTGGAGGAAGGAAAAACCCTCTCTGCCTTAGATTCACTTTAGGTTTTATACCCATGTGAGA